TCAACCAATTATAAATCAAGTTATTTGGTGTAATCTTCTTATACTAGATAGTATCAATATCATACATACATACACTACTCTTGATAATATGCTTACCTGCTTGATCAGTAAGCACAGCAATTGGTGCAATTTCTGCTGTTTCTCCATTATCACTGTGAGCCACTATACTAGCATAGACTTGTTGATATGGTGATAGCTCATTCACTTGGTACTGGTTAATGTCACCAGAGACATTAACTGTAGCAATTGTTCCATTGTTGAAGTCTAGTGTCAGTACATAGTGGGTTATATTTCCTAGTATAGGATTAACTGGCGGTGACCATTCAAATAAGATCATTGATCTACTGGTGCTTGTTACATTAAAAGTTATTGATGGTTTCACAATAGCAGTAAAGTTTAATATCATTGATTTATTGGAGCATTCATCAACTATCAACAGAGACCATGGCAATATCTGATCTACTGCTAAAGTCTCTGGAACTATAAATGATACTTGTATTTCTGTTTCTTGACGCATTGGTTCAATAGTAAATAGAGTATCATCCATATCCACAGATACTTCAGATTGTATGACAACAGACACAGAAGCTTCAAGTGTCATAGGACCACTCTTGATGTTTGATATGGCAATATAAACTAATGAAGTCCCTCCTGGATTGAGAACAATGGTAGACTTTTCTTTAAGTTCAGCTTCTATTGATGGAGTATCAAAATTGACAAATGAGTCTGGGACAGCATGAGTGAATGGTATTCCTCCAATATCATGTCCACGTAGCTGGTACTGGACTGATCCACTGGGTAATGTTATTGATCCTGAAAGAAAGCCTCCACTTGTGCATTCACTTACCTCAGCATACTGGAGAACATTATTAAAGTTGTCAATAATTTCCAAATAGAGTGGATAGGCAAGAGAAATATTACTCAATTGAGGAGAAGCTAGTGTAAAGATATGAGTGTCACCTATAAAACAAATAATAAAAAAGTTATTTAAATTCATAATGATGCGAAATATGATCTTACATTGAAATGGTAATTGGCTCTTTGGTAGCAGCTCACCACTTTCACTTTCTTCTAAATAATCTATATCCAACTCAAGGGAAACAGGAGATGTTACAGAAATTTCTACTGCACCCGAGGAAACACACACCATCCAGTTCCCAGGCTGTGGATCTGTGCTTTCATAAACAGTAAAACTTGTGACTGATACAGTCTCAGTGGTGTTGTCAGGCCTTATAATGTTAACGGAACTTGAAGACG